TTCACGCGATGCATCATCTTGTAAATCGGTGTAATGCGACGTACTAAGGAGAATTAAAATAATAGACAGAACGAAAACTGTAAGTTCTTCCGAAGGAAGTCGGAAGATCTTAATTATTGTGGAAAAGAAACAAAAGAATAGAATCAAGGTCTTCTGTTGAAGAATTAAGACCTTTATAGTAATGATAATAAAAATAACAATAATAAGCATCAAGCTCAAAAGTCCATAGAAAAAATACAATACAGAAGCAGAGCAAACACGGACCTCTAAAAGCATCAAAGGTAGGATCAGGTGCCATTGAGGAGTAAACATCCCCTGCCGTAGTTTAGAACTACCAATATACAAGGATTAAATGTGCCTTTACTTATGGCTTTGAGCTGTCCTAGAAAAATTATTTCTCTTTGCTATAAATCAATAAAAAGCAATTTTCAAAAGTTATTCAAGATTAAAAATCTGTTCTGACTGACATGTTAATACTCATGATAATATAGATCTTTCCCTAACGGCATTTAATTGTATTCTGAGTGCTGAAGTGACCTATAGCTATTTGTTCTCATCCGTCGTCTTGCCTTCACATTTGAACATTTTCAGCTTCTTATCTGAAAACGCTAAACCAATCTTAATCAATTTTGAAATATAGCATATATAAACTGGTTTATGGGATCAAAAATTGTGAATTCCATGACCTCCTAACCACCAACACCAACTACCGGACCTAAAATTAGGTTCAACACCATCAGAATTAGTGCAAGTCTTTAAAAATCTTCTTTTTTTATTTCCGGACAGCAAGCAGTCAAACTGTTAGCATGATTATACTATTATACTACCAAATTCGTGGTGGTCATGGTTCAAGGGTCATAGGTTCTGGTGTTAGGGCGGATTCTATTCATCATATGTATAGCGAAAATGCACTTTTTAAAAGTCTTCTTGTTATTAAGCAAACATACTAAGTGCATGTTTATGATGAGCAAGAGTGTTATTTCAAATGATTTCTTTTAAAGTGTTCTTCTCTGCTCCTGGTTTTTAAGCAAACAAACTAAGTACATGGGTGTCTCTTCCGAAATTGTAAAATCCATTGCTAATGGTTTAGAGGTTCTGGTGTAAAGGCAGTGTTCTATTATTCATAAATTGAAAAGGCACTTTTTCTTTAGAACTCATCGTTTTTGTTCCTGGGAATTAATCAAACATATTAAGTACATGGTTAGAATGAGGAAGAAAGTTTCTTCAAAAATTGTGAAATTCACAGCTCCTGACTTGGGTTTCTTGTTACGGCGGGATTCTTTGGATTATATACTTAAAATACAGTGTTAAGGCATACTCTGAAAAAATCAACGGAATACAAAAGTGCACAAATTGATACCTTTTTAAACTGGATTTATTTTTGAAAAGCTATTATCATATGGATTTAGTATTAATTGAAATAACATATTGTTATCCCACTTTGAAGTGAGTTCAGCTTGATCATCTGATTGGACAGTCAAGTGATAAATGTATATATGTACTGCATGGAGGTCATAAACAAATTTCAATATAACAAGTGCATACCCTCTATGCTGCCCCGTAATCGACCACAAAAACTTGACAGCTAGTTTACGGTCTTTATTCCTTAATTAAATCGCCGTGAAGAACTACAATAAACAAGAAACACTAATAAGCACTTACATACATTCATACATTAACACGAATACACTCAATAACAAAATAAGATCACGGCTTTCAAAGTTACAAAGCACAAAATATACTAAAACAATTGCAGAGGAAATTCGGAAAAAGCAATGAATACCATATTTTACACAGATAATATATTTATCAACATGCGAACCTTGAAAAACAATGCAACAATAAATAGAATTACGGTATGTATCTTATTGTAGTCTACTTCTGTGCCAAGTTATATTGAAATCAAACGAAAACTGTAGGAGGAGTAGCGTTTTGAAAGTATTTCACATAAATTTCTTTTTTTAGTAACCATGACAACACCATTCATTGAAATCAAAAACTGAAATTCGTATTATGTATTCTAATTGTGTGCCAAAATCGGTTGAAATCAGACCAAAACTGTAAGAGGAGTAACGTTTTATAGGAATTTCACAGAAATTTCTATCTTTAGTAACCATTGCAACACCGTTCATCGAAATCAAAAACCAATGCACTAAATTATGTATCTTAGTATAGTCTTCTTGTCTGCCAGAATATATTAAAAGGACTAAAACTGTAGCAGGAGTAACTTTTAAAGGAATTTCACAGAAATTTCTATTTTTAGTAACCATGGCAACACCGGTCATTGAAATCAAAAACCGATGCAATAAATTATGTATCATTATACAGTCTACTTGTGTGGCAAGTTATATTGAAATCAGACCACAACTGTAGGAGGAATAGCGTTTTAAAGGAATTTCACAGAAATTTCTATTTTTAGTAACTATGGTATCACCGTTCATCGAAATCAAAAACCGATGCACTAAATTATGTATCTTAGTGTAGTCTACTTGTGTGCCAAGTTATATTGAAATCAAACTAAAACTGTAGGAGGAGTAGCGTTTTAAAGGAATTTCACAGAAATATCTATTTTTAGGAACCACGGTAACACTGTCCATTGAAATCAAAAACCGATGCACTAAATTATGTATCTTAGTGTAGTCTACTTGTGTGCCAAGTTATATTGAAATCAGACAACACTGTAGGAGGATTAGCGTTTTGAAAAATTGTTTACAGACAGACGGACAGACGGACGGACGACGGACACCTTACTATCGCATAAGCTCTTCTGGTCTCTGACCAGTAGAGCTAACAAAATACGAAACTAAGATAGATAACTCTGACAATCCACTACACACTCATTCAAATTTAAATTTTAATTCACAAATGGTTTTGCATAAGTTGTAGTTTTTTGGGGGAGGCGCTTCTGCTATAAACAGAATTCGCAATTTATAAATTTAAGTTTAAATTTCAATGGCAAGCCAGCAGAAAAATGTATGACCCTTATCAAGTATTTTAAGTTTTTGATAAGTAACGTTCTCAATTTCATTAATTTCAAGTTTAGGAAAATTTCTAACGTCTATATTTTCAAAGAAAATTACCAAGATCTTTTAAGTGTATGCCCTTACAAATAGGCAATTTAACGAGGCACCTCGATGCTACATGTTATCATGCCATCCTTTACACTGAACACTGCGCGCACTGTGTATGTACATTGTTGAATGTTGAATTCCATACACTCGCTCGATAAAAACGGATAATGACATTGAATAAATGTTACGCATTGGTATTAACTGTCCAACAAATGTCTGTAAAATATTCTGTTAAATAATAAAATGCAGTTTTCACTGTGAAAAAATCACTTGATCCGCCTCTCACTGCACATAAAATGCGTCAAATTTTACCATGATGACGTCATGTCGACAAGTGCATTTCGATCAGTGACTTGTTTATATCTTGCTGTGTGGAATTTAACTAGAGATAAAAATGAATGCAGTGGTAAGTTTTAATGTATTGCTCATATGCAGTTTAAAATCGCAGATTATTTCATTTTCTGTTATTGTGAGGAATTGCTATATTTGTGTGATGGCACAGTAAGTATTTCCCTATTAATTTAGGCCCCGCCCCATTTATGCAGCCTTAACAGAGCTGCGATCTGTGGCTATAAAGTGTTTGAAAATATCTCTCGGTATATTCTCACTCCTATAAAATGCTTTAAAGTGTGTTATATCAACTGAATAACTGATGATAGATAATCATGTCCTGGAATTGGTTTTATACAAGATAAAAAAGATAATTTTTAAGGTTTCAAAAGAACAGTTCAAATGGATATTCTAGTGGTAAATATTCCAGTTTGTTCAAATTACACCCCTTGGCAAGTGACAAAATAACGATGAAATAACGTGTCAATAGAAATTTATTTGTAAGATTATATCTTTTCTTTGTGTGATAAAGTTATTAACTTTGAGTCAGAATAAAGAATCGTTTTCAAAAAGAACTTTCATGCAACTAGTTTTAGGGTAAGACCAAAGGCTAGTAATATATTGACTTTGTCAAAAACAGAGAGAAAATATACCGATTTACATTGGCTGTGTTTTTCTACTAAGCCAACTGTGAAATTGATTTGAACGCCATATTTGTGTATACTCACGCGTAGAAATATACACGGATAAATTCGCGCTGAAGGGACATTACAATGAGGCTACAGAGACGTTAATAAAAAGGGACATCACAATGAGACGTTAATAAAAATATGACGATATGGGCACCGAGAATTTCAAACACTGAGTATATTTTTGGTACAATTAAACATTGTAAAATATAAAGAATGTTGTTAAGTTAATTGTGAACTATTGATGTGTAAATCACACAGACTAGAACGTAGGCATATTTTTCATGAAGCGCTAGAGCGTTTCATGAAATGTGCCTACGTGACAAGTCTGTGTGATTTACACACCAATAACTCACAATAAACTTAAAACATTCCTTAATTAATTTTCTATCTACAAATCAAGCAAAAATACTGCTGTTTATTAAGGTCAGAAGACACGTTCTTCGAATATTTGTTTTGCATCTCTTAGTAATATATTTAAAAATTTAAAAAATAAATTTCAAAATGTCTTTATAAGAAATACCCCCACAAAGTGTGGTATTTGCAATGCTTGTGATTTCCAATAGGATTATATAGGAAATACCATCCTCTGGTTTCTTGCACAAATGCCTGGTACATGTAAGGTACGTACCTCATTTTCTTGTGAGTAAACATTTTAAAGTAGCAATACCATAATGACAAGTTCTTTAGGAAAATAATAATTACTGTCGTCTGACCTTAAAGTCATAACATTTAAGATAAGGTCTTTTTCCAACTGTTAACAGATTCGTGTCTTTGTCCAAAAAATGACCATATTAAGTGATGTTGTCCTTAGACCCTTGATTTTATCCCTGTAAAAAAATATTATGAAATATTCTACATGTACTTCAAAATTGACAAAAATTACACAATTCATCTTGTTCTGTTCTAGGTGCCATGAATCATGACTGGGATTGCTTATTGCGTTCAGCAAAACAAAGTACCACAAATACTACAGTCACGGCAGCGGATACTAGTATTCTCTCGGCAAGAGTATCATATTTCTACAATCTGCTTGGTCCAGCAATAACAATAGAAACTGCTTGTTCTTCCTCTATGGTCGCCATACATACAGCATCACAGGCTTTACGGAACGGTATGACCAATTGATTGCTTGCTTGGACGGTATGACCAATTGCTTGCTTGCTTGGACGGTATGACAAGTTGATTGCTTGCTTGGACGATTGCTTTACCACATACACACACAAACACAAAAACACAGACACACATTTACATATATTGGAGAAAATTTTATTAACAGAAGACAACACCTCCTTAAATTAATTGATGTGACTATTTTTTTTTAAACATCGGGAAGCGTGAAAAAAAAAGTTTTTCTTTCACTTCACACTAACCTTAGAACTTTTGCTTACATGACTGTATATCTTTAAAACGCTTGACCGTATAAAATGCAACAACGTTTTGTGTCTAAAAATATATTGAAAAAAATACCATATAATACATTAAATACGTTTAACGATATATGATTAAATTTCTGTTACTTACTAGCAAAGTAAACATGTGCGGCGAATTGTAACTTTGAATCAAGTGTACTTTTACAAAAAATAATTTTATTTCACAATCAAAACAAAAATATATAAAAGAGGTTTTGAAAAAAAGAAGCTCCTAAATTTCATTCTTTTATTTTAATTTTTTACAGGTGAACTATCAATGGCCATTGCTGGCGGTGTCAGCTTTATTCTTGATCCACAAAGTTTTATAAGCTTATCAACTGCAAAGATGGTATCACCAACAGGAAAATGTCATACTTTTTCAAAGGATGCTGATGGATATGCTCGGGGAGAGGGATGTGGGATCGTTATATTAAAAAGACTTGCAGATGTAAATTTTTTTAGAAAAAAAAAATCAAGTCAATTTTTAAAACTTTTCCATTCTTATCTACTAATATAAAAGAGAACGAACATATGTCAACTATTTCTCTGAATATGGTTAGAAAGCGTCATACACAGATCAAATTATAACTTTACTTATGTGAATAAATTAAAGATATTTTGAGTGCAGAGTATTAAATTTTTACATCAAATTTCACATCACAAATTACGTATCATATTATAGTAAAATTCCATAGCTCAGAGATTTTTAGAATATTTTCTAATTAAAAAAGCCCCACATGTTCCTCCGCGGAAATAATTTGAAAGTCAATGAAATGAAAGACAAATTGTAAATTTTGTAAACAAAAGTTTTCAATTTTTAAAAAAAAAAATCTGTAAGACTTTGCAACAATCTTTGCAGTTTATTGCAAAACTCGCTTGAAAGTATACACTACGACGGTAATAGCAATGCGTTGAGTGAAGACGCTACATGTGTATTAACATTTGCAAAATGAAAAAAGAAGTCAATTTGTCCTTTATATAGGTCTGCCCATATTCTCAAATGCAATGTGGAACATGTGGAAGGAAGACAGAAACGGATTTAAAATTGTTTTTACTGAGCTTACAAGCCGGACGATGCATAGTAAATGCATGTGAAATGATTATGAAAGCTGGTAAACTGTTAAATGGCCATTGTATAGCAAACATGTGCCGGGGCATACATGTACATCTGCGATTGAAAAACGCGGCTGTGTTTTCTTATCTTCTTCGTCAGTACTCAATGAAATTCAAAATTCTAAGATTTATATTTAATATAATTTTATAATTATTCGCTGTAAAATCTGAATTAAAAATGCAACGATTCTGATTTCCTGGACAATTGTTTATTGTCATAAGGGCCGGTAAAATGGGACAGGATTCAAATTGTTCAATTGTCACATCCAATTGCGTCATTGCACAAAGCTTTGCTATTTCTGTCTTAGTTCATACTTTTAAGCGAACTTTGCGATAAAAAAAAAATAGTCAACATATGTGCATTCCATATGCATAAATTAGTTCTATTTTAGGCTATACGGGACAAAAATAAAATATGGGGTACGATTTTTACATGCCTAAATCAGGATGGTCATTTGAGTTCCCCAATAACTTCTCCTTCCGGTGAACAACAAGGAAAACTTGTGGAAACAACTTACAGAAAAAGCAATGTTCCACCAGGTTCTGTACAATACATAGAAGCACATGGTAAGTAATATAAACAAAAATTAAAAGCAAACTTATTTACAAAATAATTAAAAGTATCGAACAGAATTCAAAAGATGAAACATATCAAGAATAACAAAGAGATAATCCTGCTAAAAACATTAGAAATATATCTTACTAGTTTAAGAAAACAGTTACAACGTATCGTCATATAATCGTCATGTATCATCATATATACGTGGGGTTATCAAAAAGTTCGTGGACTAGCGCCATAAAATTAAAATCGCTTTAGGTACAATGAATTTTAATACATTTAGTTAGCATCATCTTTTCTATCTATAGGATAAACCATAAATCATAAGTTTTATTTTTTAATAAATTGTAAATGTTTTTGTAAACAATGTTATGTCCAGGTGGCGCAACCTCTAATATGATGCTTTTTCTACCTGAGTGTAATTGAGATAAACTCTTTTGATATGAGCATTTGTCATCAAAAAATCCCGTTAATTCAGGCATGTGGTACGACACAATTGTTCCGTAAAATTTGCAATTTTTACCCCATTCTGTAAGTTCTATGAAATTTTATAGTAAATTTTATTTGGAGTTCTAAACAATTAAGGGTTTGTTGAAAATGATGTCAAAAAGGGGGAGGGGTTTCTTTTTCCAACATTCTATTAAGTTTCGCACCTGGAAAAACTGGTATAGACCTAGGGAATGTTTAAACGGGCTACAGAAAAATAAAATGCATCCAGAGTACTTGTTTTAACTACTCAAAATGATTCAGAGAGATGAAAGATGCACAGTAAATGTCGATTTGTATTCAAGATGTCAAAAGTCCGTCGCGTCGAAAAGTGACGTTGATCATGTGTGGTAGAAAATGACTCCAACAAGCTAAGTATACTGACATAATCAAGTGATGATCTTTATGTATAGATCCATTTACAATATTACATGCATTGAAAGCAGCTGTTCATGACATTGTAAAGTCACATAAACAAGACGGACTTAAGTCCTTATACTTAACTCCAGGTAATCTCATCAAGATAAGTGTACGAGGTAGAGAGAGAGGACATTGAGAAACAATGACGTTGTCGGACGTCATGAAACTAAACGGCGACAGCGCCGGCTGATCGTAACATGTCTTTTTTATTTTAGAATAATTTGGCAAGTTATTAACGTATCAAGCTAAAATTTTTAACTTTTCTTAAACTTTTGTTGATTTATGTTCCTTATAAATTTTGTAAGCACAGACTACGTAGTATTAATTTTATCGCATCAGTCCACGAACTTTTTGATAACCCCTCGTACATGTACTCTATAAATATATTTATGCCTCCTCATTCCATACCTATACATCAAAATTAGACAAACTCATATGTGTGTTGAAAAAATTTTATTGATCAAAATATGATAATATTCTGATCAAATCATGTCGTTAACTCATACTTTGTAAATTACAGTTCCGGTATATTAAAATGGATTTCATAATGTAAAGATGTCAATTACAATTCTATTATACAAAAAAAGATTTCACAATGAAACTTGTAATTTGCAGTTCATTTATATTAGAATGGATGTCAAAATGTAAAATTTTAAGTTAAGTTACAGAATACAGTGTATCGAAAAGGGATATTGGAATCAGTTAACGTATCACACACAAAATACAACGATTAGAACAATACTGCGTAAGACTGTATCATATAATGGGTATCTATAAAGTATGTATCAAAACCTATAGGATAAGTGTACATAAAGCATTTATCAAAACCTATAGGATAAGTGTACATGTACTTACACAAAAACCAACTAGTGGCAGCAGGTAGGGTAAAGATACCATTAGTTGAGAGGATTTGCAAAATCATCGCAATTACCCCACCAAGGCTATATCATGTCCAGGTCGTCCAACCAGGAAAGTTAACAGATAAGGCACAACCAAGCAAGACAAAATTCTGGCATAAAAGAATCAAATCAGTTCAGATTTTGTGTTAGGCCAAATAAAAAAATATGTGTGGTTCCGGTTACCCGACCTTCCCTATTTTATAACCCCAACCCTAAACTTTTTTTTGACAATTTTCATATTTTTTCCGGAATTTTCCCCGATTTCCATCAATGGCTCCAGTTTAAGTTTTAGTTTCCTCAATGACGGCCTCCTTGCAAAACATAGTGCTAGTGTTTGATAGTGTTAAATCCAAAGCAAGCTAGCATGTAGGTGTCCCCTACCAATATTGACTAGTATATTATCACACCACATCTAAATGCCATTTGCAAATCAGTGATAGGTATTATTTAGAAAAATTAAGAAAATAATTTAAAAAAAAAAAAAATCCCTACCTACCTATCCTAATTTTTTTGGAAGTGTAACCGGAACCACACATATTTTTTTGTTTGGCCTTAGCAGCCCAAGCAGGTAACATTGTATAATATGACATTTAAAATTGCGCTATAAATGAAACAATAATAACATGCATTCAATAATCTGGTTTGTGTAAACAATGGCGTCCAATCAAGAAAAGAAAGTTTACCATTAATAGCGCGATATCGAGCGAAATGAAAACGCATTAACAATTCCAACTTGCCACCGCAACTTACTGTGGTCAAATATAGCTTTTTTTGAAATTGACTGAAGAAATAAAGGTAAAATCTATAAAAATTCAACAAAATACAGAATGTACTTCTTGGTAAATTGACGCCACAAAGGCAGCTGAAAAGGGTACGCTATCTTCAACCAACCAAATTGCTCAAAAATGATTTCACAGCTATGAGGCTTCCATAAAATTATATTAAGTCCAGGAAAAGTTCAGTGTTTCATATACAAAATATATATGACTTATTAGTTCTATATATATATATATATATATATATATATATATATATATATATATATATATATATATATATATAACCAACAGCACTGTATATCTTAAGTGTCGGATCTTAGCTACTAAGTAGATACAAGGTCACGGAAGGAAATTTATATAAAGCACTAAAAATGACCAACGACACGAGCAATAAAAATTGTCAATTTTTCGGGACGACCTGTCCCTTCCTCAGGACAAAGAAAAAAAGTTTAAAAGTCATAAAAACAAAGGAAACGGAGAAGCAAAAACAACTAGCACTACTAAAAAGCTACTAAAAGCTAAATATTTACAGTGTTACATGTTTAATTGAAGTTTATAAACAGTTGTGAAGAAAGAACACCCGATAGACCGGACGCAATTCATAGCGGTCCGGATTTCTTTCTTTACAACTGTTTATAAACTTCATGAATACACGTTTACTGTGAGTTCTAATAAATAAAGAACTGAAAGCTTTTATATTTACAAAGTAAGTATCGGAAAAAAAATTGTTTAATAAAATTAACTGAAAAAAATGATCTCACTGCGGCAACTGGTCTGACCCTTTAATGTAGACAGTTTCGGTTCGCATTTCCTCAAATAAAAACATAATATTTAATATCACTGTAATTTTTTTCAGGCACATGAATAGTTTAAAAATAGATGAATAATTCACGGTTTGATATATGGAAGTTAATTTGGACAAAAACAGAATTTCCGTTTTATTTATAGAAGCATTAGAAGCATGCATACAATACCGGGGTTGTGTGGAGGAAACCGCATCCCTCTCCTGTTTAAATTAATTAAGAAACTATATTTATATATGTATATATATATATGCCATTTACATCACAGAAGAGTTAGACACTATTGTTCATTCACTTAAAAATATAATAAACAATGCAAGTCGAATTCATATACAGGTATGAAACTGAATGCATGTGTATGGACTACAAAACTAGACATTTACACATAAAATCCTTAAAAATGAGATTTACTGAATACATAACATATAAGAAGTCCATATTTAATCTTGAATATATGAACATGGCATGAATGAACGAATTAATACTTCAGGTTTCAATAGACTAAATGTATCTGCAGATGTAACCAATGTTTCATGAACTTGAATGGACTGCGTTGCAAAGAAGAAAGGAAGGGGTTCTTAAAATTTCAGAAGTTGCTTATTCATCTACATTTAAATGCACTTAAAGTTTTAAGTTTATGAATAAACACAAATGTAAATAATATATAAAAACAAAATATATTTTCCAGCTTCGAATTTTTAATATGTAATTGAGGATTCATAGCATTGTTTTTGTCCCAAGTCTGAAAGACTCTGAGTTCATGAGAAATGTAATGGGAGAGAAAAATTTTAATTTAAAAAGGGTGGTTAAAAATTATTACAAATAATTCATAGAAATATTTCATTTGAAAAACATGCATCTTCAAGGCTATGATGAACCATAATTTTTCAGTTTAAGTTCTTCAAAATTGTTTTTGTTGATGTTTACCTATACAAAATTACTTTATCTGTGTGTTTAATGGTTAAAAGAATGATTCACAGAAATTTGACAGTTAGCATTATCCTACTTTTTTGAAAATCAAGGATTTTATAGTTAGTCGGTTCAACATTTTCTCTCTTATGCTCGTGATTAGCCAAAGGTGTTTATCTTTTGGAAGTTCTTGTGTAAATACGACTCCAACGAATTTTTTTTTCCAAAATGTGCATACACATAGTAAATTGTTGATTAACAATATAGTAATGCACAATAATATATACAAAAATAAGAGGAGGGTGTGTTATACATACTTAAAAAACGAACATACTAATAAATGTATCACACTTTCATTCTTTATGATCGTAAAAAGTAGGGAGGCAACACAAGAACTCCATCGCCATCGAAATCAAGTTTTATTTCACTTAAGCCAAGGGATCTATTGAGCTTTTTCTGAACATAGGGTGTCCAGCGTCCCCCAGTCGTGTGTGGGTGTAATTTCTTGGGGTTTTTTTAAGGGAAGGGGGGTCTTTGTTTTTTTTTTTTTTTTTTTTTTTTTTTTTTTTGGTTGGTTGGTTGGTTGGTTTTTTACATTTTCGATCTTCTTCAGAACAGCCAGATTCAACAAAAGTTGTTGCATAGCATATTCATGTTAAGAGAATTTAAAACTTTTTTAAAGAAAGAACCAGGAAAAATGAAACTAAAATAACGACGCCA